TGATTGAATCTGGAACCCCGTGCAGTCGGACTACGTTATCTACGAACAGCGTCGCGGCTTCCTCTGCTGTGACCTTGCCGTGCGTGGGGATGAAGTGCGCTGCTCGAGAAAACTTATCCACTACCACGAAGATGGCGTTGTGACCCCTAACTGTGCACGGTAAAGCCATGATGAAGTCCATCGTAACTGCCTACCAAGGGCGGTCGGGTGGTGGAATCGGCTGCAAGAGTCCTGCTTTGCGCTGTCGAGAGGACTTCGTACGCTAACACGTGTCGCACGAGAGAATGTAATCCTCTACGTCTGCTGCAAGCCCTGGCCAGTAGTATGTGCGACTAAGCGTCTTAACCGTTTTGTCTGCTCCGAAGTGACCTGCACTAACTACGTCGTGCGCCTCTGAGAGAAGGAGCTGTCGAAGAGGGCGGTAGGCTGGAACCCAAATCCGTGTGGTACCCTTCCGTATGTAGACACTGCCCTACACCTCTGCTCCTGCGGGCGGCTGCGGTGTAAAGTCGGGATCTACTATGTAACCGTGCTCGAAGAGTGCTGTGAGAAGTGGATGGCCGGCAGTGACTGTAAGACTAGCGAGCTGGCAGCTAGGGCGAGTGAGCGGATCTGCTGGGTTGCGAACGCCTGGCTTGTACTCTATCCTGTAGTGGAAACTCCCCTCCATGAACTCCATCCATCTAGCGTGGCGTCGACTCAGCTGCGGCTGTGACTTGAGAAAGCGAAGCGAGCAATGGTCCGTGCGTATAACACTATCTGCCTCCTCTAGGTAGCACCTCCACACCTTATACGCATGGATGATCGCGAGCGCCTCCTTGTCGTGGATCGGATAGTTCAGCTCGGCTCCCCTAAGCTTGCGTGACTCGTACGCTATCGGTTGCAACCCGCGGCCCTGGTCCTGAAGAAGCACTGCTCCTATGGCCCGATCTGATGCGTCGGTCACTACAACGTACGGGCGAGTGGGATCTGGGTATGACAGTGTCGGTGAAGACGTGAGCGATTGCTTCATCTGCTCGAACGCATGCTGCTGCGCTGGACCCCAATCGAAATCTACGCCCTTCCGGAGTAGGTCGGTGAGTGGACTAGCCATCCATGCGTAACCCTGAACGAAACGACGGTAGTAATTTGCAAATCCGAGAAGGCTCCGCAACTCCTTCACAAGGTCGGAGCCACCCAATCTTGTACTGCTGCGATCTTCTTCGGGTCGGTCCTAATGCCACTAGTAGAAACGACGTGACCTAGAAACTCGACCTCAAGGAGGAAGAACTCGCACTTCGACTGCTTAGCGTACAGCTGCTCCTTCCGCAAGACCTCGAACACCTTCTGCAAGTGCTGCACGTGCTCCTCTTTCGTCTTGGAGAAGACTAGGATGTCATCTAGGTAAACTACAACGAACGACCCTAGGAACTCGGAGAGGACTGTGTTCATGAGCGTCTGAAACGTCGCTGGGGCGTTGGTCAAACCGAACGGTAGAACTCTAAACTCGTACAACCCCTGCTTCATACGAAACATCGTCTTGTGCTGGTCCTCTGGAACTACGCGAATCTGGTGGTAACCCGAACGAAGGTCGATCTTTGAGAAGACTCTAGTGCCCTGCACCGCATCTAGGAGATCCTCTACTCTTGGCACCGGCAATCTATTCTTGACTGTGGCGGCGTTCAGTGCGCGGTAGTCTATGCACATCCGTAACCCTCCGTCTTTCTTAGGCGCGAAGAGGATCGGTGCTGCCCAAGGCGATCTAGATGGCTGTATGAACCCCTGCGCGAGAAAGTGCCTAACCTACTGCGTCATCTCCTCTCTCTCCGCTGGACTCAACATCCACTGCGGCTTTGCTACTGGCCTGCTCCCCGGCTTCAACTCTATTCTATGGTCTATTGCTCGGCTGGGAGGTAACCCTGGGGGCAACTCGTCGGGGAAGACGTCTGCGAACTCTGCTAACAGTGCACTCACCTCAGCAGGAAGAGTCGCCTTCTCACCAACTGTTGCACTCCCTCCTTTCCCCTCCTCAGCTTCCACCTCCTCAAGGAAAACCGCAAAGATCCGTGCCGCTCGCTTCACCAGCTGCCGCACATGAACAGCATTGATGATGGCTGTGGAGGATGTGGCCCCATCGCTCCACTGTGGCAGCTCCCGGAACTCGCCATCTACCTTGACGCTGCAGCTTCCCTGAGCCCAATCGAACTGAGTACTAACCGTCCGCGTACTTACTTTCATGATGAATAGTGTTAGGCCCGCTAACCTAAATCCGCTAATGATTAGCGGGGCCGACTAAGTCGAGGATAAACGCGGCGGAAGACTTTTGCGAAAGAGAGTGTTGGCGAAATAGGCGAAGAAGTAACAGAGTAATTAAAAAGTTGAATGAGAATCGATTGCTATGAGGGAATACAAGCAAGGTTGATATAGCATGCAAGGGCAATTGTAGGAAAGTGGTTTGTGGGACTAGGAACTAGAAGGCAAAGACAGTAGAGTGCCACGTGGAACTAGGAAATCTAGGAAGATAAGGATAAGGGTGAGTTGGAAAGTATTGTTCAAGGTGAACAGTAAATCCCCCCTTAACAACTAGTCTAAAAGCTATTGGAAACAATTGATTTAGCGCCTCTGTCGTGTCGAAACACCAAGTCAGAAGCGAAGCAAAACATATCGAAGTATTAGCGAGTGAACCCTCGGAGGTTGAACAACTGCTGGAGGTTACGCGAAAGTCAAAGGTCAGTGACCTTTGACCTGACAAGCACAGCACGAAAGCAAGGACAAACAACTGACTCGCTATTGAGCAGTTGCCCGAGTCGTCACTGTATCGAACCACAACAGCAATAGTAAAACGGTTATTAACTGTATCTCTTCGTATTCCTTGTACTCTTATAAAAGCCTGTATCTCTTTGTTTTAATCAATCTACTTGCCCTCACATACCAGCGCAAGGTGGTTCACAAACTTCTCATTAGAACGCTTCCGCTATTACATTGTCCTACTCAGAATTTAGTCCTGCAAAGATCCTAAGGGCTTTTCTCAGCCCAACAAAAGCACTGTTGTATTCTCCATACAAGTTGGTGGTAAATTCATTATTCCTCTTTACCCGAAACCCAAAGCCATGCGAGGAGAGATCATGTACACGACCAAATCACATGCATACATTCCATTGATAGCAGGCCCTCAGATTGGTTTGAGGATATGCTGATCGATCAGCGTGCCCCGGCCGCCCAGGTGTCCAAATCAGCGTTCATGGTTTTTTTTATACTGATTTTGCCAGTGTAAAAATCATAAGTAGACTGAACTGAACCATCAGTGTAAAAAAGAAAAACAAAGTTGAATCACCAATTCAACTCAAAGTTTGCCGCTGTGAGAGTTCCTTCCAGCGATGCAAAGCACATCGGCACGCGATCTGCTGTACAGCGCATGGCATCTCCAAGTGTGTGGGTGGGGTCTCGTGAATCCCGGGCCAGGTACATACGGTACATACGGTGCAAAATTGAAGCATATGCTGAAATTCCAGGGAAAACGAAAATCACAGCTACAAAATCAGCCTAATCAGCGTGTTTTACGCTGATATCTGAGGGCCTGATTGATAATCATGTAACTGCCCATGCTGCTGAAATGATCAATCAAGCATGTACAACATATGGTAGACAAAATTCCACACCATGGCCTCTCCAACAGGCCCAAAATACCTCCCTTCCGTTGCTACCGAATCATTCCCAGCTGTTTCAGATTCAGCGAAGCAAGTGTAGTGCACATCTTTATGCCCACACGTGTCATCTGGCCTTGGGGCCGCAATCAACCAATCATTGAGCAGCGACAGCCCGAATCGACCTAAGTGCCGGGCAGCGACTTTGTTCAAGTGTGAAATGAGCATGTTGGTTCCAAGATCGCAGTAATCGTTGAGCCGCTTCGGCGGAATGCTTCGGTACAGAAACCAAGGGCCTTCGGTGAGCTGCACTCCAGTTTCAACCTTCCCCAGGGGCTGCTGCTCCTGCAACCTCCGTTTCTGCTGCTGCTGCTGCTCCTGCAGCTTCCGTTGCTGCTGCGGTGGCTGCTGCTGCTGCTGCTGCTGCTGCTGCTGCTGCTGCTGCTGCTGCTGCTGCTGTTCCTGCTTCCACCGCTTTTGCTGAGCAAGTTCCATTCTGGAATAAATCCACTCCAGGAAGTTAGGAAGGTAGTATCCAAATGCGTTCTCGGGCTCGTCGCAAAAAACGGCCGTCCAGAAGCCAGCATCGAACAGCATCACATCCGCTGTGGTGGAGATGTCGGGGAACTTGAGCCTGTCCAGTGATGTGATGCGCTTCTCCTTTTTGCTGCACACGAGGAGTTAGTGGAGAATGGGGAAATGATGGGATGAAGGAGAAGCCAGCATCGAACAGCATCACATCAGCCGTGGTGGACATGTCTGGGAACCCGAGCCTCTGCAGTGATGAGATGCCCTTTTCCCTGCACAGCGGTTAAGGGGAGAAAGAAGAGGGGGAAAGAAGAGGAGAGAATGATTGTTCTGAGACATATCAGAACAAAAAGCGTCACATCTGGGGTGGTGGAAATGTCTGGGAACTTGAGCCTCTGCAGAGATGAGATGCCCTTTTCCCTGCAAAGGAGGGTGAAGGGGAGAATGGGGGTATGATGAGACGAAGGAGAAAGCACTTGTATTGTGTTGGGAGCCTCAGACAGGATATGGGTATGCACAAGTGAAGCCACTGGTAATGCCGAGATAGACAGGCTATGAGCATAAGGAGGGGTGGTTGGAGGAGTCATAGGTTCAGAGGTAATGCCACATATGATGGGATGACAACGATTGGAAACACACCAACACACACTCTCCCCCCCTTCCACACACACACACAGGCACACATGCACACACACACACACACACGCACACTCACCCACACCCCTCTCCCTCCTCTCCTCTCCCCCCCCATGCATGCACGTACGGGTGCGTGCACACCCCCGCGATCACATGAACACGCACACACATGCACATGCACTACATGCACACAATAACCAAAAACAGCTGATCTTACACGCAGCCAAAAGGCCCGTCGACGTAGATCCCTCCGATCCAATAGAAATTCAGCTTCAGGGGCAGCAGCTCCGGGCTAGGGGGCGGCACGACCAATCGGATATCTCCGTGAAACTTGACAGTAGATGCATTGGCCTTGCCAGTGAGGAGGAAGTAGAGATGGTGGAAGAGGAATCGCAAGTGGGAATCTCCGACAAAGTTAATCTCGGAAATGCCTCGGGATTGAAGGGTGTAGACCCATTGGGAGGTGGGGGGGAGGGGGTGCGCGCATGGGTAGAGCTGCCACGTGTAGGCTTGCTTTTGGGGGGTGAAGAGCCAGCGGCCGTGGATGGAATGGTCACAGGGCGAATCTGGGCCGTCCGTTGCCTCATGAAAGAGCTTGCTGCTGGGTTGAGATTCGGCTGCAGCAGCTGGTTCGGTGACTGGTTCGGTGAACGACTTGGTGGATGGGAGGACGGTGAGGACCCACTGAGCCATGACATGTGATCCCGTGCTGTTGACTCGCTCCAAGTAATCGGGAGCAAAGTCCAACGTGTCGCACTCTGATTGGACCAGGACGCTGATTGGGCAGGGAGTTGGGAGAAGGGGTAGCAATGCGAAGGGGAGGAAAGAATTTCACCTTTTTAAGGGTGAGCATTTGACTACGCATTTAAGGGTTACATTCAAGTAGACTGAGCTTTCGGAAGGGAATGGAATAGAGAGCTAGAAATCCACCTATCCTGCCCAACAGTCCCCAATCCCCCCATCTGCTTCCCCTTGCCCCATCCCCTTCTCAAGCTTTCCCGTTCTCCCCCTTCCCTCTCACCTGAACCGCCGCCCCTTCCCTCTCTCCTGCCTCCCTCCCTCCCCTCCTGGATCGCCCCCTCCCTCTTTCCTTCCCCCCCCTTCCCCTCTCTCCTAAACCTTCCTCTCCCCTCTCTTGTGACCCACCCCTTCCCCCTCTCTCCTTCCCTTCCCCCCTCCTCCCCGCAACCCGCAACCCTCACCTGTAGTTTCCAGCGTCCCACACGCGGTACGTCACTCGCCATCGCGTGACGTCACCCTCCTCTGTAGTCACATCCGCTGCAACCAACGCAGGCCCCATCAGCCTCACCACCAGCGACTCGCGCAAACCACCCACACCCCTCCGCGCGCTGCTGCTGCTGCTGCCGCCGCCGCTACCACTGCTGCTGCCACTACCTACAGAACCAGACTCCCGTAAGGACCGGCCGCTTCTGCTCCTCGATTGGTTCCTGGCAGCGTCATCACTCCACGCGCTTCTACTCGCTGACCGCAGCGCGCCGGTCAAGCAGCCATCAGACCCGCTCGAGCTATCGCTGCTGCTGCTGCTGCTACTGCTCAGCCCGATCGAGCCTAATTCTCCGTCCCGCGCGCGTGATCGAACCAGAGCCCGGCGGCCTCTCTTTCTCCCCCCCAGGCTTGGCCGCTCGCGAGTGGCGACCCATTTCGCGGGCGATCTGACGGCAATCTCGAAGGCGCACAGCTCCCCCACCGTGCAGCGGGAGCACCCCCCGCCGAAAATTAACACGCCTCCCCTCCGCCGCGATCCGCCATGATTTGATTTGATCATGTTGCTGCTGGATCCCGACGAGTCCCCTCCGCTGTACCCGCCGTGGTCCCCGGACCACCAGCAAATCGAATCCGATCCTACCGGGTTTTCCGGATTGATGGACTTCTCCTGGCTCGGAGCCACGTCAGCGTTTGGGTTGGCCTGTTCGTGCGCGGTACGGGACGGTTCGCTGGTTCGGCTTGATGCAAGCGCTCCGAGCCAGATTGGCAGGCTTGGTGCGTCTGTGTATATCGTGCATGAGTCCACGAGGACGGTGAAGAGTAGTAACGGAACTATCACAAGCGCAAACAGCGACAGCACGACCAGAAAAGCTACCCAACAGCGCTTCGATTCATTGGTGACTGTAGCTGCCGCCATTTGAGCGGCTTCGCCCAACAAAATCGTATAGATATATTATTTTAGGACCAGCCGTGTTGGTGACCTGCAGCGAACACCGCACGCACGGCTTCAACACGTTTGGGCGCTAAATGAATGTCTAGTGTAGAGCGGAGTTGCACAGATTGCTACATGCCGGCTTGCAAAAACTGACAGAGGGACCATCTGTTGCCGGGGGAATCTACCGCTGCAGGAGCACTGATAATGCGGGGATAATTCATGGGCAAGGCAAGGACCATGGGGTTCCAGAGGGCGGACCAGAGACATGTGACACACCCTAATGCTTTAGATTGTGTGCATGATTCGCTATTCCTTTTACAGTAAGAGGTATGTGTAACGAAAATCATTTTTCCTTACTTCTCATCCCTGCTCAACGCGTACATCACTATAGCACCACAGTCAGCACCGTTACCACTCGCGACCCTCGCATCGACAATCAGCCCGCCATTTTTGCACATCGCACCCCAACCTCACGGCTCGGCTGGTAACCCGCGCTCCGGGCCTCCGCTTCGACACTTTCCCAAACCTCAGTCCCAGGCCCGTCACGCGACAACCACAGTCCATTACCGTTACCACTGTAGTTTCGCTATATATTCTTCGCTCATGCCTTCGCTCATTGTATTTTTGCTTCGATAGTGCAATTCTCGTTCACTTACTCAATTGCACTCGTAACAGTATGATTGCGATGAGTGGATGGACATGTGACGAAGGCTGGAAGGGGCGCTACACCTTCCTGAGGGGTGTACTATCATTTCTGAGGGACTCGTGAGGGAGAGAAGAGCAAAGATGGTTGTCATGTCACGCAGGCTCGTTCTCTCAACCTCCAATGCGGTACAGTAGCTTTCCACACGGTTCGTACTCACAGCGATTTTGACCGTAACGCACCAAGTAAAACCGAAGATTGGTTAACTTGTGCTCTGCACTTCTCCACTCTTATCCTCCCGAGGGGAATGCTCGATGAGGTGGGTGGAGGAGAGCCCAAGGTTAGACGTTTCCTTCCACCAACCAAGGAGCACATGTCTGTCCGTGTGAGGAGGGAGTACAGTAGAATCCTCGGTTCCGGTTCTTTCTGGTGTGGGATGTTATGATGCCCCGCTGGAGTCGTGCTTTGCATTCTTACACTCCATTGTCTGGGCTTGTTGCAAATGCTGAGGTTATACAATACATGCAAATGCTTTGAGTTCCTTATCGAGGTTGACTGCTTCGTGTACAGCCCGATTTTCAGACTTCGCACGTTCGGCCGATTTCAACGCTGCTGAGGCTCCTCGCGTCGCCTTCGGCATTTCCCAGTCGCCAAACCTGCACCCAACCTCGCTCGTCCGAGGTTCCCTCCTAGCTAGGCTAGCCCCTACATTAGTCTGTGCCTTCATTGTATTCTGAGATCTGTTAATCACAGTCTCGTCATTCGTTTACCTGCGCACTCTCTTTTACAACTCATAACACCTGGTATCAGAGCTACTTTCCTAGTTCACCCCGCTTTTCCGAGGGTAGTTTCGTGGCATAGGGTGTGGCTAGTTTAGTGACTACACGACGGTTGGCTGCAGGGATTGTTAATTCAATCCTTCCCTACTCCGATTGTTCGTGTTTTCACTTGCCTGAAGGCCACGGATGCCCGATTGCCCACCAGACGTAGCGCTAGGCACATGGTGTCGGAATGTCATATTTGTTATCTAGCCTGCAGTGGGGTACTCTATAGCGAGTATAACCCCTTAGGGTTTCATATTTGTATCTCATTGCTTGCTAGTACAACCCTCCTCTTTTGCCTAACTTCTTCTTGCCTAGCTAGGTAAGTCCTAGCTATGGCTACTATCGTTACCTACCTATTTTCACATGGTGATCAGAGCAGTACGCTCCTGGCCTGTGTGCCTAACCACGTTCCTTCCGCTGCAACTACTACTTTCCCTTACCGCCGTGCGCCCCGAGGCGCGCGGCGGTTTTCTGCCCACCGTGCGCCCCGAGGCGCGCGGCGGTTCTCTTCCCGCCGCGCGCCCCGGGGCGCGCGGCGGGTTTCTGCCCCGTCACGCCGCGCGCCGCTCCCGGGAGGCGCTGTGACGGGCGACGGGGACCTCCGCGTCGCCCCCCGTCGCCCGTCGTGGCCTCTGTGCGACCCGTACAGGCAGCGCGCGGCCCGTACGGGCTGCGCCAGACCCACGCGCTGCCCGTACGGGCTGCGCCAGGCTCGCGCGCGGCCCGTACGGGCTGCGCCAGGCCCGCGCGCGGCCCGTACGGGCTGCGCCAGGCCGTCGCGCGGCCCGTACGGGACACGCCCGACCCGCGCGCGGCTCGGGCCGCATGCGCGCGGCTCGGGCGTCCCTACCAGGCCCGTGGTGGGCCCGTTTCCTACCTTCCCTGCCCTCCCCACTGTTCCCAGTCCCTCTACTACCGCCCTACCCCTCCTACTCCCCATTCTCCTACTTTAGGGTTTGGGGGTGAGGGGTATGGGGGTGACCCTCCTCAGTACCACTCCCTGCTCCTCCTCCTCCTCCGTTTCCTTGTGCTGCAGGGGGGGGGTGATTGTGGTGGAGTCGGTGGAGTGATACTAAGGGGGGGGGAAGGGGAGGAGAGCTAGCGGTGTAGCAGTGGGTGTGTGCCAAGGGGAGTAGGACAGTCTGGGGAAGCTGAATGGAGGATGCCGATGTGTCGCTAGCAGCACCTGTAGTCCGGGGACTTCGTCCGGTAGCCCAGTCGTAGCCAGCTGTGCCAGCCGCCCGTGGGTCCGTTGCTCGTCTGCCGCTACTTTAGCCGCGGGGCCAGTTACTCCTGTAGTCCGGGGGCTTCGTCCGGTAGCCGCTGTGCCAGTCTGCCTCCTGTTGCCCGTGTGTCTGCAGCTTCATCCGTCGCCTCCTATCTCCTCTCCTCTCAGTCTCTCTCCTCCTCCTCACTTGCCCGTTGTGACTACCTCTAGCTTTGCTTATAACTGTGAACTTTATACTACTGCTGCTTGAACTTGTGCTCAGACTGTGTGGTGACATTGTGATCCACCCTGAGCTTGTTCTGTTTTGCTTGCTCTGCTGATTACACCCCACTTTGGCTATGGGGGTGTGTCAGAATGTCATATTTGTTATCTAGCCTGCAGTGGGGTGTCAGAATTATATTTATTATAACTGCATGTAGTTCTAGCTGTAGTGTAGTTATTAAATTTGTAGGTGGTGCACCTCTTCATGTGTTCCTTTGCTATATGTACTTCGAATGCTATAGTGAAAACACATTCTCCAATTTCTCTCTCACAACTCACTCGACATCGCTCCTAAGGAAAACCTGCTCGATACCTAGTTAGGGCCTAGGCTACTAAGCCTAGGCCCCACCTTTCAACTCCTGTTCTTAGACTCTCGACATGTTATCAGAGCTGAGTTCGTCCTGGCCTGTGGGCCCGCTTTACTTCCGCTACTAAAATTTTACGGTCGCGCGCCTAGGGCGCGTGACGATTTTATTCTTTACCTTGTCCCGCCCACGGGCGTGTGACTCCTACCCTGCCCGTCGCGCGCCCCGTGGCACGCGACGGTGCCCTTTATCTGCCCATCGTGTGCCCCGAGGCACACGATGGTGCCCTGCTCGTCGTGCGCCCCGAGGCACACGATCGGGCCCTTTTATCCTACCCGTCGTGCGCCCCGTGGCACTGGCCCGCGACGGGCCTCTCCGCCCCTGCACTCCCTGCTGCCGCCCCTGACCCATCTGCACCGACGCCTCTTCGCCGCTCTGCGGCTTTCTTCCTTCCCACCCCCCCCTTTCTCTTGTCTCCCTGCAGTCGTGGGGAGGAGGGTATGGGGGTGGAGGGTGTTGGAGCGTGGGGTCAACTCTCTCCCTTCCCCTCCTCCTTCTTTCAGTCCCACCGCTGCAGCTGCCGCTGGGGGGGGAGGGTGTGAGGATGTGGGTGAGGAGGGGGAGTGGTACCGGGGTGGCGGGTGTGAGGCAACAAGCAGCCGTCCCTCCACCTCTCCTCTCTTCCCCCCTTCTCTGCTGCTTCTGCAGCAGTGTGGGGGAGGGGAAGGAGGAGGGTGAGGAGATGGAGGGGGTAACCTTTCAAAGTTAGCCCGCCTGCAGTACCTGATGTTGCTTGTTTTATTGCTCGTTGGTGTACCTCTGCAGGTTGTGCTTGGCACTTAGCTATTCCTGCATGCAGTTACGGGGGGATGTCAGAATTATATTTATTATAACTGCATGTAGTTCTAGCTGTAGTGTAGTTATTAAATTTGTAGGTGGTGCACCTCTTCATGTGTTCCTTTGCTATATGTACTTCGAATGCTATAGTGAAAACACATTCTCCAATTTCTCTCTCACAACTCACTCGACATCGCTCCTAAGGAAAACCCGCTCGATACCTAGTTAGGGCCTAGGCTACTAAGCCTAGGCCCCACCTTTCAACTCCTGTTCTTAGACTCTCGACATGGGGTACTCTATAGCAAGTATAACCCCTTAGGGTTTCATATTTGTATCTCATTGCTTGCTAGTACAACCCTCCTCTTTTGCCTAACTTCTTCTTGCCTAGCTAGGTAAGTCCTAGCTATGGCTACTATCGTTACCTACCTATTTTCACACATGGATCAGGAGACGGCTAACAAATTGATGGCGCAAGTGGCAGAAATGCAAGACAGCATGAAGTCGTTAATGGCGGAAGTGACAACACT